CATTAATTTTTCTAATAAATACATTAGCCAGCTCGACAAGTTTATCATTCAGTGCGAACCGTACTGATTGGTATATATAACAGAAAAGTCAAATCTCCGAGAGAGACAATTAAGAAGTTATGGACGAAAATATTAAATAATAGAACAATGCGTTAAGAGAACTTCTACCGAACAAGTTGAACCGAACTTTAAGACAAAAAGGGGCATGACTTTGAGCTGCCTCTAGTAAGAACTTTTCAATATTTAGGCCTACCAATTCATTTTTAAATAGATGCAATGTTTTCTAGTATATATGGAATTTTACTATATAGTCTTACATAAAACCATTTATGTAAATAACAAATTAATAAAATAGATTATATGTTTTGAGTATCCGGGCCTTTTTTAACATGCAAACTGGGGGGGGGGGGCAAATGCCCTCCAGGAAAAGTCCCTTTTTCCTAAATTTATACAAACAAACCAGTGAAGAATAACAAATAGATAAACGGAAATTAAGTTTTAGGCGTTTTACGTTTTTCTACCACTAAGTAATGACAAATTATTGTTAATAATTATTTTATTTTTTGGATGCTCTGATTAATGCAGGAAATGACATTTCAGGGTTCCAAATTTCAAACATTTTCTGGGGAGTATGCCCCACACACGTGGCCTTCAGCCATTGCTGTATTACGGTTAATATTTTTTTAACTTTTGTGCATTTTTTTCCTTCTTTTATTTCAAATACAAGTATAGTTGCATAAATTTTGGAGTAAATTTGGATGCTCAGAATGCAGGAAATGGCATTTCCGTGCTTCAAATTACACCAAAGAGTGTAACAAATTACAATCTCGTTTCCTTTGTGGGTCCCCCAGACCACCCCCCCTTCATGCGTAGTATGTCGGCCACGCACGTGGCCTTCACCCATTGCTATCCCCCTCTAATATATTAGGGAACTTTAGATTCGCTACGGCTACGAAATCTAGTACGACTACGAGATTTTTTCCATTAAATATCAGCTACTAAAAACTTATAATGGTACGTGGTTTGGCGCAACTGTTGCTATAAAGATGTGGTATGCAAAAGAAAGGACGATAAAAAGTCTGTAGTAGCAGATATTTAACGGAAAAAATCTCGTAGTCGTACCAGATTTCGTAGCCGTAGCGAATCTAAATCGTAGCCGTAGCGAACCTAATATCTCACAGAAAGGTCCGTTTTCAAAAAATGCCCCCTGTCAATGCGGTTAAAGCTAGATTACAGTCCCTTCTGCGCATGTGTCAAAAATGTAAACAAATGTGAGCACACTTGTTTTGATTTTGTGTGCTCCCCAGTCCTTATTAGGATATGCGCGCTCAAAATGGCCGACTCGCAAGAGTTCTATAATAGAGCCGTCCACTTCAAAGACAAATCCTTCTAATGCTGGTCGCCAAAACTAACCAGGAAATCGAAAAAAAACATTTCGCGAAAAGGTATGCAACGAAAATGTACGTTAATGATGCTATTGGTCGGTGAAATCATTTCAAAACTGAAGCTGGAATCAAAAGTGACGAGCGTTCGCGAATACTCTGCTGATCGAGCCTGATACGAAACATCAAGACGGATTTAATTGTGGTAAGCACATAACACATATCCCTGGATATATCAGTTATGTTAATGCTGTTATATTTCCTCATTACAAAACTTTATTGTGCACTTATAGCGCTGTGGAAACCCAGACGGATCAGCAGCCAGATGAAACAATACAATGCAGACATGAGCCATTGCCAGTATATGTTCAGCAAGGGGAAGAAACAGCAATGGAGCCACATAAAGATTCTTAAAGATTCTCCTAAACAGTACAAATACATCCTACAACTTATAATTAAGGTATGTATAACATTTTATGCTTTCCTGAATCCTAGTGAGAAAAAAGTGACTTTTAGTTTTCATTATGAAATTCCATATTCTTTATATCACCTTTTCAAACATAAATATTTTGATCATTCTCTAGGCATGTTAAGGGCACAGTAGCACCTGCTGATTGATGTGTTTTAAGAGCACTTAAATGGCTTTTTGGAAAGCCAAATTTTGATTTGCATGAACATTAACAAAATCAAAATTTGGCTTGAAAAAAGCCATTCATGTGTTTTTAAAACATATTGGTCAGCAGGCACTAATGTGCATTTAAACAGGAATAAAACTAATTATAAGTCTTCTTTACTTCTTTAGGTATGGGGATTGGTGTTGCAAGTGATGACCGAAGGCAAATTGCTACTAACATAACTCCTGTCCCTCCTCCTTCAGTCAAAGAACTTGTTGAAACCCATCAGTCTAGATTCAACTGATCACTGTAGACAAGTGTCTGGCACTTAAAACAAAGTGCTCTGGTTAGGTGGAGCTCATAATCCCTGAAAGGCAGTCCACCTAGGAGAAGGAACTCTGATTACAAACTCCCGGACCCCAATAGTGAGTCAGGCTGTCCATACTGGATTCATTGAGTAAGGAGTAATTTTAAAGAATAAAAAAATCAATGTCAATACCAAATGTTGTGCTTGAACATCCAATGCATTTGATAACTTGTCTTATAAGATACTGTTCATAAAAGATTTAACCCATTGACATGATAAAGTCTTTCATTTGTCAGCAAAATTTGCTGTGGTTAGTAGACAGAGAAAGCTTAAAATAAGTTTGAAGCAATTTTGAACTGCAATTTTCTTCTTTTGGTGTATGTGTTAGAGTGAATAATCAAGCCATGCAAAGTAATGTTCCCTGTAATTTTGCTAAAACACATATGCCAAAAGGAGAAAATCAAAGTTTCAAACGGGCCTTAACAGGTGTGAATTACCCATGTTCTGTCAAAATATTTAAAATGATCCTCCCTGTCATGGGGAGATAATTGCAGTAAAATGGATTAATGAATAATAAAGTTTCCCTCAATGATCAATAACATAATAAAAACATGTGCAACAAATATTTACAATCTAGCAGGTTGATACCCAGTGTATATCCCATTTGGAGAAGGATATTGTCTCTGTATTGCTGTAACACAACAGCTTGGAATCACTCTCCTGTTCCGACTTCCTAACCTTCGTTGTTGCCAGAGTACGTATTGTCTGTGAGCAGCATGGCAAAATTTTCATTGTTTCTAATATTATTTAACACTAAAAAGTCTTCCCTCTAATGCATGGCCAGGTCCAGATCGAACATTTCCATCAAGTACTAACTGTGGGAAGAGAGGGCTATTTTCCAATTGTGTTGGCATTGCAACACAGCATCCACATTTGCAATACTCTGAGGCATTTTCTGGGTTTTCGTAGCTGGGTCTGGTTGAAGCGGTTCACCTGGCAATTTACCAAATTGACAAATGCTGCTGGCTGATGCTGTATAAGCTCTAGAGCAAATGCTCTTCAACGGGCAATTAAATCCATTGCTACCACAAGAGTCTGAAATGAATATATTTATCATTAATTAAATGCAAAAACTCAAGCGCAGTGAAACACAGATATTTCTTACCACGAAATTACTGCATTTCACACCTATGTAGACTTGACGTATATAGACAGGCAAACTTTTTTTACATAATTTGATGTTTTACCCGGCAAGGATATGCATAATTATGTGGGGTATCTAATATAACAAATCATGTGTGTTAAAGCCAGTGGTTAAAGCTTTCAGAAATGTATGTCTGCATATACTCTTGGCAGGCAAAGTATCAAAATATGTAAACAAAGTTTACCTAGCTATTGTTAGATAATCATTATCCTTTGAGTGAACTATCATAGTGAACAACATTACATATTCTCAAATGAACCATTGCTCAGGCAATTTTTTGCGTATAAACTAACGAAACATATATAAACTAATGAACCAATACAATAAGATTGCATGTGAAGTACGTTTATAACAAACAGTACGTAACTAATAGCAATAATACAAACTCACCATCTGTCCTTCTATTGTTCATACATGTATCAAAATCCTCTTCGTGGCACGCGCTTGAGCAAAAAATACCCATACTTTTGCAGGGACAGGAATTTCGCCCTCTCTATCGAAGACAGAAGCTGGCGCAAGCCGCGACATGAACATATTGTTTCCAATTCTTCCAGCGAAAAGCTTTTTCCGAGTGCTTCTGCCATGACAGCAACAATGACTCTGGCAATGTGTTTTGACGAACAAATACCCCAAGGAAAGACTCATGATTACTTTAACACTTCCAAAGTTTATTTTACAATGCCGAACATTAATTAATATAATCAACACAATGAGTGCGGACTCGCAACTTTGGCTCGGCTGTGTCGGTCTCTTCTGAATGTTTCATCAACGAGGCACACAAAAAACAAATGCCGAATTGATCAACAATATATCTTCCATTGATGATCTTTCAAAATATTTAATTGCTTGTCTTTCAGAAGACAATTTTAAAAAAATTAACAACTCCACTCCTGACTCGGACTCCATTTATGTAGTGCATAGCCGCTATACTTCATATTATACAATTGAAGTGGATCCAACCAAAACAAAAAATGTAAACAAACGATATATATCTTTCCTTTCGCATGCCCGGAAATCTAAACCCGCAGAAAGGAGGGACCGCTCGCAGTCTATCTTTCTTGTAAATAACTATAAATATTATCTAGTTTTTCAGTATATAGCCTATCTCCTCCTACTGTAGTATAATACTGTTTTAGGAGTATTTCATTAAAGCATATACAGCCCTTCGCCTGCCTGTTACTATGTCTCTTTTAGTCAGTGTTCGATTCCTCAAATGTTTGACTGTACTGGAAAAAGTTATGGATTAAAACAACCCAAAAAATGGTCTGTGTAAGTCCAAAAACATGGCATTGCGCAGTCGTGATCCTACAGTTTGTCCAATTATTTGAAACAATCTATATATAAGTACTATATAGGTACTGCTGCTGTTCAGGTATTCTAACTTAAACAAGTTTTTCCCTTGAAAAATGCATTCATATGCATGACTATAATAATGATTTCCTATGCCATGTTATATGCAGAGTAAAAAAATTGACACGTGTTTTTCCATTACTAAAGCTACAATGACACAACCTCCATCCGTGCGAACGACTGGTATTGAATCTAGTTATGTAGTCCGCAATACTCGAATAAAAACTGGTATGTTAATTGGATTATAGCTAGGTAACTATAGGAATGGTATACTACTACATACATAGCCCTTCGCCCCCCATGTTCGTTTAGTCAGCGTTCGATTTCTTAAATGTTTTAATGTACTGTAAGAACCGATGGGTTAAAATAACGCGAAAAACGAGTTAGTTTGGGATATGTAATCGTTTAAATTATTCCAAAAACATGGCACTCGTGATCCTGCAGGCTGCGGTTTATTGAAATAAAACGAGGAGGCATTACGAGATAAAATGAAGGAAGCTTTCTAAATATCAGGGTGTTTGTTGCCCGAGATATAAATCCGCACGCCCATTGGCTACATTGAAATCCTCCCAGCAACACTGCCTTAACAACAGGAGAATCATTTTATGAGCAAAAGCCAAAGCCCCTTATGGCCCGCGCTAGCTTAAAAACAACAAGCAAAACTGCCCAAACTGAGTGAAAAACTAGTCCTATGTGACTTGTTTTTATAATTCAATGTTGAAAAATGTATAATTAGTGTTTTTACTGAACTGTTTTTTTCCCTGTTAATTGGATTAATAGGTAACTATAGGATTGGTAACTAGACATACAGCCCAATGCTTCGTATCCATGAGTTATTATTATTAAAATTAACACATTTTTCTCCATTACTATATAAACTAAGATACAATGACACAACCACCATCTCTGAGAACCACTGGTACTGAATCTAGTACTGTAGTCCGCAATATACTCATAAAAAACGGTATGTTGGATTAAAGTAGGTAAGTATAGGATTGGAAACTAGACATACAGCCCTGATGGGTGAAAACCACCCAAAAAGCAGGCTGTTTGAATTACTTTGGGATATGGAATCGTTTAAAATAGAATTCATACAATTTCGAGTTTTCCCAATTTCCTGCACGAGTGTTGATATAACTGTATATCATTACGGAAAAATGTTTTATATTTCTTTATAATATAGCATTTGTAAATTCTGAACGCTGATTGGCTAAGAGCCGTGTTGATATATGATATAACTCCATGTCAACACGGGAAATTTTATATATAACAGGTATACTAATCTCAAGCATGAGATTTTTGCCAGGATTGTATGTTCACCATTGAGCTAAATAATAACTGGAGTGAGTGCTCCTGTCTTTCGTCAGTCCGAACTAAACACGGCAGTCGTGATCATAGAGTTTATAAAGAAATAGAAGGGGCATTGCGATATAAATTGAGAGAAAATCGAAGTTTGCCAATCATGGCCAAATTTTCATATCCTGGCTTTAAATCCGCACGCTCATTGGCTGCATTGAAATCTTCCGAGCAACACTGCCTTGATAACAAGAAAGCCATTTTGTGAACAAAGTTATGGCCGTCTAAATGGAAAACCCCCAGAAAAATGTTGCCCAAACTGAGTGAAAAATTATTGCTATGTGGTCTAATTTGTTCTTAATTCGAAGTTGAAAAATGTAGAATTAGTGTTTTCCTGATGTTTTTGTGTCAGGTTTTCCATGTTTCTTCAGGTTCATTGCATGCTAAGGAGATTTAGAAATATAGTTTAAGGGCGTACGATTTTACATCCGGGAATTTTCAATGCATGGTTATTGATATTTGGAGAGAGGAAGTATATATATAGGTAATGCTCAGAGGGTAATGCTGTTCTGGTATTCTAGTTTAAAAAATTTTCCCCTTAAAAAGACATTCATATATCCATGACTTATAATGATTTCCTATGGTAGGTTATGCACAGTAAAATTAACACATGTTTCTCCATTACTACAGTTACAATGACACAACCTCCATCCGTGAGAACATCTATTGAATCTAGTATTGTAGTCCGCAATACTCGAATAGGAAACGGTACGGTATGTTAATTGGATAAATAGGTATAACTATAGGTATATATATATATATATATATATATATATATATATATATATATATAGTATATATATATATATAGTGTATAATATATATATAGTGTATAATATATATATATATATATATATATATATATATATATATATATATATATATATATATATATATATATATATATGTAGGAGCATTAATTTTTCTAATAAATACATTAGCCAGCTCGACAAGTTTATCATTCAGTGCGAACCGTACTGATTGGTATATATAACAGAAAAGTCAAATCTCCGAGAGAGACAATTAAGAAGTTATGGACGAAAATATTAAATAATAGAACAATGCGTTAAGAGAACTTCTACCGAACAAGTTGAACCGAACTTTAAGACAAAAAGGGGCATGACTTTGAGCTGCCTCTAGTAAGAACTTTTCAATATTTAGGCCTACCAATTCATTTTTAAATAGATGCAATGTTTTCTAGTATATATGGAATTTTACTATATAGTCTTACATAAAACCATTTATGTAAATAACAAATTAATAAAATAGATTATATGTTTTGAGTATCCGGGCCTTTTTTAACATGCAAACTGGGGGGGGGGGGCAAATGCCCTCCAGGAAAAGTCCCTTTTTCCTAAATTTATACAAACAAACCAGTGAAGAAAAACAAATAGATAAACGGAAATTAAGTTTTAGGCGTTTTACGTTTTTCTACCACTAAGTAATGACAAATTATTGTTAATAATTATTTTATTTTTTGGATGCTCTGATTAATGCAGGAAATGACATTTCAGGGTTCCAAATTTCAAACATTTTCTGGGGAGTATGCCCCACACACGTGGCCTTCAGCCATTGCTGTATTACGGTTAATATTTTTTTTAACTTTTGTGCATTTTTTCCTTCTTTTATTTCAAATACAAGTATAGTTGCATATATTTTGGAGTAAATTTGGATGCTCAGAATGCAGGAAATGGCATTTCCGTGCTTCAAATTACACCAAAGGGTGTAACAAATTACAATCTCGTTTCCTTTGTGGGTTCCCCAGACCACCCCCCCCCCCATTCATGCGTAGTATGTCGACCACGCACGTGGCCTTCACCCATTGCTATCCCCCTCTAATATATTAGGGAACTTTAGATTCGCTACGGCTACGAAATCTAGTACGACTACGAGATTTTTTCCATTAAATATCAGCTACTAAAAACTTATAATAGTACGTGGTTTGGCGCAACTGTTGCTATAAAGATGTGGTATGCAAAAGAAAGGACCGCGATAAAAAGTCTGTAGTAGCAGATATTTAACGGAAAAAATCTCGTAGTAGTACCAGATTTCGTAGCCGTAGCGAATCTAAATCGTAGCCGTAGCGAACCTAATATCTCACAGAAACTGGTCCGTTTTCAAAAAATGCCCCCTGTCATTGCGGTTAAGTTTGTTTTGCTCATGCACAAGAAATAATGAATAATTGAAGTAAGTTCCATTGTGAGGTCGACAAAATAACTAAACTACTTGCTTTCATTGTTGCAGATAGTTCAAACATCACGCTGCCTTCCATAACAGTTAAAGCAAACGGTATGTGTTAACTGCAATTTGTTATTTATAACGATTGACTGTGGAAAATCATTAAACACACATTAAACTAAGGAAGCCTTTATTAAGTCGGAGGGGGCTGGTAACACTCATATATTTTTGAAAATATGATAACCCCCCCTTCTCGAGTTACAAGTCTTAACAGCCTTTCCCCATCAGAGTCATACAAATGTTATGCCCCAGCCCCACCCCCTTCGACACCCAAATCCCACCTAGTGTGCGACGTTTCTAAATTGACTTAAATGCAGTATATATGAATGTAGGTCAATTTAGATTCATTAATTAATTATTAGCACATTAAGCGAATATTTTGAAATAGAAAGAAGCCCTAAACTTTTTTTTCTAAAATCGAAGCTTATATGATCCTGGGAATTAATATAAAAGTCAATTTATTAACACAATATTTTGGAAGAAGCACCAGATAATGTTATTTAGGCTATATATAGGTTAACAGTGCTTGTACGGAATAGCTTCTACAGCGGCATGAAAAAGCACCTATCCGATACGGAATGTACAACTTTCAGAAGCTGAGCGAAACAACATCTCCGTCCGTTGCAATAGTAATTCCTCTGAAAATAGCGTTCCTGAATGGTACGGATAGTTGTTTTTTCTCGTCGCAATGGAAAGCTATCCAATGAGAAGGGGCTGGTGAATTAATAAACATGTATTGTTTGTATAAATTAATGACCTCCCCACTGTGTTGGAAAATCTTAAAGCCCCCCTATTGTTTTACAAGTCACCCCCCCCCCCCGACATAATTCATGAACGCTCCTTAAGGACAGTTTGACAAAATAAATTGGGGGGGGGGGTTGAAACATTCAATATTCCTACCTACATTAATCAATATTCGTACCTTCAATATCTCTGAACCTGGTCAGACGGGGGATCGACGCAAATACTCCACATGCAATTTTGTTTCAAATATTACTCATATTACTTAATATTCATATTCCTACCTTAAATATTCATATTCTCAATAAATATTCTCAGTATAAACTTGGGAGGTTCAAGTGTTGAGTAAGTTTGCTCAGCTCTAGATATCTTGCATTATTACCTCCGAACAAAACAAAATGGCTTCCCGTTTTTTCTTCCGATGCAAACGCCAGCAAATCTTTTTGATAAACGAAGCTGCGGTTTCAACAAACACAAAAACCAACAAAGTTTTGTTTAATAGTGTGTTTATAGGTATTCTTGGAATATCGGCACTAGTAGAAAGATCGGCGCAAAAATTGTTTGAAACGATATATATCTTTCCTTTCGCATGCCCGGAAATCTAAACCCGCAGAAAGGAAGGACCGCTCGCAGTCTATCTTTCTTGTAAATAACTATAAATATTATCTAGTTTTTCAGTATATAGCCTATCTCCTCCTACTGTAGTATAATACTGTTTTAGGAGTATTTCATTAAAGCATATACAGCCCTTCGCCTGCCTGTTACTATGTCTCTTTTAGTCAGTGTTCGATTCCTCAAATGTTTGACTGTACTGGAAAAAGTTATGGATTAAAACAACCCAAAAAATGGTCTGTGTAAGTCCAAAAACATGGCATTGCGCAGTCGTGATCCTACAGTTTGTCCAATTATTTGAAACAATCTATATATAAGTACTATATTGGTACTGCTGCTGTTCAGGTATTCTAACTTAAACAAGTTTTTCCCTTGAAAAATGCATTCATATGCATGACTATAATAATGATTTCCTATGCCATGTTATATGCAGAGTAAAAAAATTGACACGTGTTTTTCCATTACTAAAGCTACAATGACACAACCTCCATCCGTGCGAACGACTGGTATTGAATCTAGTTCTGTAGTCCGCAATACTCGAATAAAAACTGGTATGTTAATTGGATTATAGCTAGGTAACTATAGGAATGGTATACTATTAGATACATAGCCCTTCGCCCCCCATGTTCGTTTAGTCAGCGTTCGATTTCTTAAATGTTTTAATATACTGTAAGAACTGTACTGATGGGTTAAAATAACGCGAAAAACGAGTTGTTTCAGTTAGTTTGGGATATGTAATCGTTTAAATTATTCCAAAAACATGGCACTCGTGATCCTGCTGGCTGCGGTTTATTGAAATAAAACGAGGAGGCATTACGAGATAAAATGAAGGAAGCTTTCTAAATATCAGGGTGTTTGTTGCCCGAGATATAAATCCGCACGCCCATTGGCTACATTGAAATCCTCCCAGCAACACTGCCTTAACAACAGGAGAATCATTTTATGAGCAAAAGCCAAAGCCCCTTATGGTTCGCGCTAGCTTAAAAACAACAAGCAAAACTGCCCAAACTGAGTGAAAAACTAGTCCTATGTGACTTGTTTTTATAATTCGATGTTGAAAAATGTATAATTAGTGTTTTTACTGAACTGTTTTTTTCCCTGTTAATTGGATTAATAGGTAACTATAGGATTGGTAACTAGACATACAGCCCAATGCTTCGTATCCATGAGTTATTATTATTAAAATTAACACATTTTTCTCCATTACTATATAAACTAAGATACAATGACACAACCACCATCTCTGAGAACCACTGGTACTGAATCTAGTACTGTAGTCCGCAATACACTCATAAAAAACGGTATGTTGGATTAAAGTAGGTAAGTATAGGATTGGAAACTAGACATACAGCCCTGATGTGTGAAAACCACCAAAAAGCAGGCTGTTTGAATTACTTTGGGATATGGAATCGTTTAAAATAGAATTCATACAATTTCGAGTTTTCCCAATTTCCTGCACGAGTGTTGATATAACTGTATATCATTACGGAAAAATGTTTTATATTTCTTTATAATATAGCACAAAGAAATATAAGAAAGAAATTTTCCGTGTTGACATTGAGCAGTGCATTTTTAAGGATTCTTCAGTGGTAGGGCAAAACTGCCAAAAGGCCCATTTTCCTTGCCCTCCCCCCAGGATAGTGTGAGCTGAATACCGCAAGCACGAGTTAGCTAGGGGGGTCTGGGGGCCTGCCCCCTTTTAAATTTAGGTTTCTGATCGAAATATATAGCATTTCCTGCATTCTGAGAACACATTTATAAAAAATCTCAGCTTCTCAAAACAAAGTTTTATGGTGAAATTTGTAATAAATTGCATGCTAAACATTCAAACACAACATGTTTAAGTATGCTCACCAAAAAATTTTGTTTTTTAAACTTCTTTTCAATGTTAAACTCAATTACTCAATACAGGTCCTAGGTGGGCCCTGGCTTTGGGGCAATAGGCCTTTTCTTCTTCAGTGGTGGGGCAGAGGAAGGGACCCAGTGTGGCAAATGCCCCACCAATCCATGGTATTAAAAAATGCCTTGATATTGAGTCATGTCAACACGGCTCTTAATAGCCAATCAGCGTTCAGAATTTACAAATGCTATATTATGAATATATATGAAGATTATTTTAACGAATAATTAATTGTTATTAAATCAACAATTGGTTATTTTCGGTCCAATTAAAATATGTCATATACAACCTATGTCCGCTGCAGATTAGATTTTTAACTGTAAAATATTGCTCCACCTCATTGGGTCGCCCCAGAAATCAGAACTGACGTTTAGGTCTGTTTCAGTTGCTCATGCACGGTATACAAATAATGAATGTTTATGAGTGCAATGGTAAGAATATTTTTATGAGGTGAAAGATGGAATGTTCCATTCAACGACGCGACAGCCGAGTTGAATGGAACATTCCATCTTTCACCGAATGAAAATATTTTTACCATTGCACGAAAAAACATTCATTATTTGTTTTATATAATACCAAAATAGACTAATAGATTCGTATGAGAAGCATTTTGACTAATGCGATTTATTGAAAACACAAAGAGTGCAATTGTACTATACGTTTTATTCCATTGCACTCGCAGAGAGTGCAATGGAACGTGTTCCATTGCACTCTTGGGAAATGGAATTTTCTATTCAATATCTCGTGACCATAAACAGCCAATTAAACGACTAGAATTCAATAAGGTATTATATAATAAATAATGAATAATTGAAGTAGTTCCATTGTGAGGTCGACGAAATAACTAAACTACTTGCCTTCATTGTTGCAGATAGTTCAAACATCACGCTGCCTTCCATAACAGTTAAATCAAACGGTAGTGTTAATTGCAATTTATTCTTTACAACGATGGACTGTGGAGAATGATTCAATACGTAAAACTAAGGACAGCTCGACAAGACAAATTGGGGGGTTGGGGTTGGAACTTAAACATTCAATATTCCTACCCACATTAATCAATATTCATAACTTCAATATCCCTGCAGATACCTGATAACTCATATATACTAGTATGAATATTCATTTTTCCACACGAAATATTCATATTCCTACTTTAAATTAATGTTCATATTCTAAGCATAAACATTCATATATTCAAACTTTTTAGAACCCTTTATTCCATATTTTGCTTCCACCCCCGAAAGAAAACATCTCTGTCAGTCAGGTTCTGTGACACACCATGATCAGGGGTGGATCTAGCCTCATCTTCAAGGAGGGGTGCAGGTTTTCCATGGGGTGGTGTATGAGGCAACTTTACCGCCCACTCTCTTTTGCAGTCTGCAATGCTACTATCTCCACATTACCATTATTTGAGGTAGCCGAATCTGCATATTCGCCGTTCTGTTACGTTTACATTTTTTGTTTACAATATTTATATCGATTTATATATTTTTATCACGTATACGTGATAGGACAGTTGCTGTAGCACAGCACAGCACAGTACAGTAAAGTTGCTTGTTAAAGTACCGTACATTATATTTGACTGAAAATACGGCTATATAACAACTTTGACATGTTTACATATTTAAACATGATATTCAAATAACAAACCATTCTGAGTATTTTCTCGTGAGCTCACAAATCAGTTAAATCCGGCGTTTCAAGAAGTCGACACGCGCTAACGGTAGAAGTTCGCTAATCGCCATTCGCCAAAAGCAGAAAACATATGGTGAAGCAGATTAGGGTGGTGTGCATGGACGTCTCTAGGGAGGTAGTGCTGAACACCATGCACTATAGGTGGGGTGCGTACCCCCAGGGTTGATGCGCCTCTGACCGTGATTCACCGGTGACTCCACTTTGAAAAGTCATTGTTGCAGTTCGTATATTTTCATGATATTTATTTTTGAACTACTGTTCTTTATTTTACCCTCGCCTAGGCTAAGATAACTGGAATACATGCTCCACCATGCAGTTTCCAAAACGCTAGCTTAGCAAGCTGCAATTCCAACAAAATGTATTTGCTGGATTCCAGTTTTTGAGTAGTATTAATTCAGTCTAATATATTTTGATTTCCTAATTATAAATTAGAAACCTCGAGTTCGCATGAAGTTAGTTGGTGGAAATTATTATCGTTATTATGTGTTGTTGCCGTGATTTTGTTCTGGATGTTGATGGTTGGACACTTACTTGTAAGTAATTTCTTGTTTTTGGTTTAATAGACCTAGATGGTCAGGTGACGAGGAAAGAGGGTGTTATGTTCGAGAAAGATATCAGTCTTAGTATACAGCGCGTTCGGACGGTGGCGCAGCCGACGGCCGTGAACTGAAACCCAACCAAGAAGAGAAATGCTCGCGCGGTCTATTAACCGTGATTAACCGTCGACTTCTCGGGAACTCTATACACTAAGTGATTAATACATCAGTTTACAGTAAAGCTACGATCGCTAAACAAATTGTTCAGATATCTCTCACTTAGTCACCAGCTTAGTACGCATTTGATTGGTTAATTGGATATATCAAAGTAATCAAACGCGTCTGATTCGTTAATGGTCCCTTAATTGCTGTGGTAGCAGTATAGTGGACATCAAATCTGAACCTTCCTGCTGGCAGTCTCGGGTCACAAAACATAGGCTACTGTTTCCGTCGGTAAATAAGTGCTATCTTGGCACCCCTGAACTAACTGCTTTATATCTATCTTATAGATATGCCGTATACTACATGTTGCATGCCATCTCTCCTGAAAAAAATCGAGATCGAGGTAGTATATCGTAAAGAAATCTTGGGGTATGAAGAAATACCAGTACCAACACACATAGATTACAACAGATTTATATTCATGAAGTTCAACGCGTACATTGTTTATTGATGTTGTCCAAACTATTTACTCAATTATAATGTGAAATATAGACTAGTATAAAGTTTTGATTTAGACTTTGATGTTTGATATTTCATCTCTTCATATTTTATATATCTCGAAGTACTGCATGTGTTACACGAGCTCTGTTGTTATAATCTTATGATGATATAGTTAAGCTAGAAATAGAAAACAAGTCACTTGCGTTCAGTTTTATTTTAAATGTATGCATGATTTTGCAATTTTTACTGCGATTTTCTCGTTCTGATGGATGTGAACGAGTATAGATGAGTTAGGAATGTTTGGAGTACATGTACCCTCATCTGAACATTCATAACATATTTACTCGTTCACATCCATCAGGAGAAGAAAATCGCACCTGAAATCGCAGCAAAAATTGCAAGTGTAAACAAGTCTTTAAGGGGTTAGGGTAAACGGCCGGCGCACACTAGAGCATGTGCTTAGCAAAATGTCATTCGTGACCGATTGCGTAACTAGGAGAAAACTCTAGTGTGCGGTGCACTTTTGTAAGTTTTTCGTCACTTGTGACGCGAAAGACAAATATCCAATGTGTTGAATATTTTTTGTCACTAATGAAAATTTCCTCCATGCACGTGCGCGCGCTCGAAAAGCTATCACTTAATTTCATTGTAGATCGAATATACAGAGGCGTAGCCAGGATTTTTGGTCAGAGGGGGCCAGCAAAAACCCAGGTGGGGCCAAGCCGCCAGTAACTCGAGACGCAAAGTTCGCGCAAGAAAAAAATTTCCGGACCACACAACCATGGTTTATTTTAACGTGCAGTTCTACACAAAATGTGCAGTGCTAAACCCATTTGTGCAGTTCTTAAAACACAAATGTGCAGTCACCAAACTAACAAAAATAGCCTTAATTAAAACAGTCTTCTCATTTACTCGTTGCCCTTGTGGATGCTCCAGATAATTTCAGAAATGCTGTCATTAAATGAGCATCAAGAATATATACGTTTTCTGGGCGAGGACTCCAGATCCTCCTATTTTCCTCACAAATCACTTACGTGTTGGGGTAATGGAAAAGAAGCTAAAATTGGGGCGAGCGAAGCTCCCCAAAAGAGACTGAGAGTGGGAGAACCTAATATTCTTTGCTACCTCAAATGCAAATTTAAGGTTGTTATGTATTGAGTATCCATGATTCTCAGTTACATATTTTGAAACAGCTTAACATTTGTAACATTTAACATAAATAAACCCTGCACACAACATTTTAAATCTCCCCCCCCCCTCGTCGACAAATTTTTCGGTAAAATAATTTTACGGAAAATAACATTGCAATTGCTTTCGTAGCACTTTTCCCTATTTCCGTATCACTTTTTCCGATGCTTCACCGCGAAGATTCCGACAACATTGACAAATTCCCGACGGGTCTCAATTTTCCGACGGGTCTCCCCGCCCCTGGCCACGGCGCCACTGCCGAGCCCGCGTTAAAAATTCACTTGTAAAAAACAGACTGTTTTAAACTTCATCAGATCTAATCCTCATTTAATACATATTGAAATAATTAGGGTTAGAAAAGGTATGTGTTTCAAGCTGTGTGCCGCAAATAAGCGAACACGATTTTAGGTTTCACATCGATGCCCAGCAAAGCATATATTCTACAGAATGTTTGCATTATTGACAGCATGAGGTTAAATAATCAAGGATCGATCCCTTTTTTATACAATACATATTATATATTTTATCAGGGGGCGCCCAAAATTTTTCCAGGGGGAGGCCAAAAATTTTGCCAGGGGGGGCCGGGCCCCCTGGCCCCAGGCCTGGCTACGCCTCTGCGAATATAGGCATGCATGCGTAATAAACAAAAGGAAACTAATTAATGAGGAATTACTACTTGAGTAGCGACAGATGCATATTCCTCATAATTATTTTCCTTTTGTCTTACGCGTCACGAGTGACGAAAAACTTACAAAAGTGCACCGCACTAGAGTTTTCTCCTTACGCAATCTGTCAAGAAAGACATTTTGCTAACCATATAGCCCTAGTGTCCGGCGGGCTAAAGCTAGGCTGCCCGCGCCTCAACTTCTTATAAAACCGCCAGCTACGCACAGGGGCGTAAATGTGGGTGGGGGTGTAGGGGGGGGGGGGTTCACCCCCCAGAGAAATGATCCAGTCGGTCTCAAACTACGTGCAGTCGGTCTCAAAATTATGCGTTTGTTTACATGCAGTGCGCATGCTTTGCGAAGCAAATTAAATATTTTCGAAACTCGAGATAGACTTAGACTATTGAGTATTGAGCTGGAAATTTGCTCAAACGGATCAAACAGCTCAGAAGTAATATGAAGAAATATTACGTACTTATTTCGCGAGTTTATGAACAAATTATCATTCAAAACACGCGCAAAGGGATGAAGTTTCTATTTACTTTCCAAACATGGAGATATCTATATGACACGATTACGTGTTGGCACTTTTATTTGGAATTTTGGTTCTGCAAGGTCATTCACCGGTGATATTCTATATTAGCGAAAATTTCAAACCCCCAAAATCAGACTCCAAAATGCGATGAATCTCGATCAAAATAGCTAAGATTAGTTACAATGATGCTTGTGATGTTACTCTGAGTGTAGGCTATATCCACACCGGGCAAGCTTGAAAAATATGCCTGACCACGGTGGGAATCGAACCTACGACCTTTGGAATACTAGCCCAATGCTCTGCCAACTGAGCTACATGGTCTGGTCGGTTCGAGTATGTGATAATTCGAAACAGAATCTATAGTTCCTTCGATATCAATGTAATCTAATATTTACCAACACAGAAAAAATCATGATTATTAGATTACATTGATATCGAAGGAACTAGATTCTGTTCCGAATTATCACATACTCGAACCGACCAAGACCATGCATGTAGCTCAGTTGGCAGAGCATTGGGCTAGTATTCCAAAGGTTGTAGGTTCGATTCCCACCGTGGACAGGCATATTTTTAAAGCTTGCCCGGTGTGGATATACACTCGGAGTAACATCACAAGCATCATATTCACCTGAGTACATTAAACTAACCGACAGAAAAAATCATTAGTTACAATATTTCTCCAGTCCCTAAACTATATTTTTAAGATGTAAAGTGCAAAAACGAATTTCTAGCCGAGTTATATTAGGAAGTATGTTCACATGTAACACGATATGTATAGTATGCATTTTGTTACCAAAGAGTTTTATGTGCCTACTGCAATCAAGAAATTCGATCAGTGAACGACGCACTGGTTCATCTGAAATCACGGAGCGAAAAATTGTTTCCACTGACTTGGCGATGTTTCCAATTGTTGCTTACAGTCAGGCCCGTAACTAGGTATACAAGGCAATCGCGTTCAAGTTCAATGACAGACTGTATAGTTCTTTCTATGTAAAGAAGCATTATTCTTGCCCCACAGTGACGTAAGAAATGGGAGGCTGTATGGGTACATACACAAGTACCCCAATAACAGAAGTGCGGTCAATCAAAAATCCTATAGTCACGAGCCTGACAGTTCCTGTAACATCTGCATGCATCAGCCGAGCGCAGCTTTTCAAAGCTGAAATCAGTGAAAACTCTTATGCGTTCAGTAATGAACCAGGAACGCCTCGGTGAACTCTTGACTCTTGCGTGTGAGCGCGATCTAACAGACACGATCGATCTTGACGAAATCGCTAATCTGTTGTCAAACCTGACTAAGCGCGGACACTTAATAAAAAATATAACGTTTCACAGTAAACTGTACGTGTTCTTGCAAAATTCCTAATAAATGCCATCAATTTCCATGCTTTGTACTCAATTTTATTGCAACACACCAACTCACCAAGGGTCGGTCTGGATTCACATTTCAGTGCTGAGTCGGTCTCATTTCGTGATTACACCCTCCCAGTCAAAATCGATATGTCCGCCCCTGGCTACGCAGGCTATGCGAATCCGAACTGATCGGATTCAGACCAAATTTTACGTGTTCGGATTGGATTTTTTTTCAGTCGGATTGGATTTGGCATTTTCCCGTCGGATCGAATCGGATTTATTTTTCCTACTGGCGGCTATGTATCAGATTTTGTTATTTAACGTCATTAAACTCGCGAAAACGGTTTTTACCGTTTGTTTTACAATTATGGTTCAGATTTTAGAATTTTAAGAAAGCATAACGTCTTCATCAAATTTTTCTTCGATAATTCAAAACAATTTGGCCAGCCCATAGTCTTTGTATCATCATGCTTCGACTAACATTTTATTGAAAAACGCTAGTTTACTCTGTTCCCGCTTCCATTACAATAATGAACTTAATATGCATCCCTGTCTTACACCTTTCAAGTATGGAAAGAAAGATGTTCCTGTTTTGGGATTGCTTTACAGCGCATCGGGAATTGGAATATGAATGGATATGAATTGGATTGGCACAGGAGGACTGTGGGTGAACAAGGGAACGCGATTGCACGTACAGGAAGATTGTGGGTAAACAAGGGAACACGATGGCACAGGAGGACTGTGGGTGAACAAGGGAACAAAGGAAAAATTTTCAAGGGAATTACACTGCCCCCCTCCTCTACCTGGAAGACCTTCACTAATCAGTAAGACGTGGCCATACAGGCCGAGCACCGTATACACAACTTACTTCCAGATCGTGTTAGAGATACAAGACAAAAAGAAACCAGATCTAATCCCAATATGTAACAATTATAACTTTAAGTTTCGACAGAGAGATTTAAGAACAGTCTTTTGGTGTACGCTATAAATTGTTATAATAGTAGTTTAGCGAGATCTTAGTTTTACCAAGTTTTACAAACCTTGATAGTTTAATGATATATTTTTTAATTATTTAAACAACTCATATTTCACTCAATATATAAGGTATTTCTATAAAGAATATTTTACATAATGTAAACTGTAAATATTTCATCTTAAACTTTTAATGTAAATGCATGGCAATTAAGGCTTTATATGGCCTTCTTCATGTATCAATAATAATAATAATAATAATAATAATAATAACAACAACTATAAATCGTCGCAAACAGTAATACCGCGTATATAAATATGATGCATGCCATCACAATGCCATGCGCTGGTCATGCATGCACTATTAAATCTATTGCAGATTGTAAAACAAGTCAAAAACAGTGGCATTTAATTGAGTCCAATGTTTATACAGTTATAAGTTCTTTGAATGTTTGCATGGCGCTAAAATATAATTGTTTTTG